TCCTTTATTAAATGTCATTAACTGTAAATAAATGTCTTTTTCCACACTCTGTATATGTCTGCTGTGCAGCCGAAACGTGTCAAGATACCTAAGTGTTGTTTGTGTTATACTCATCAAGGATTGAAATAAACTCGGTATTCGCTGAAATAGGGCATTAGGTTGATGACCTATCGATGAGTGTACAGTCAGATACACAAGTTAAGGCTCTATCAAAAAATCTAGGCTGGTAAATACGGAGATGAGGGCCCTATGTTATTTATGCAGTAGTGCAATGGAGACGATTGTATTTTGGACCTACGGAATTATTTTTTATAACCTAGGGAAAAATAGCCTAAACTAACCTAAAATTTAATACCTAGTCAAGGGTAGATTAAGTTGGGTTTGATTACTTCTTTTGCTTACCGAAAAAAAAATCCCATTGGCCCAAAATGTAATCGCCCCTTTGATAAACCCACCTAACATTAGATAATTTACATAACCTATATATCAGTATATTCAAAACACAAGAACGTCATCATATTATTCTCTAGGTTATGTACTTCAAAACGTGCATAATAAAACAATTAAGTTACGGCTCAGTCTATTTACAAAAAACTTAATTTTCTGAGAGAGGGTAACTACAGCTCAGAGTTGCCATTAACAAACTGAAGCTGCCTACACCGTGTCAGTACAGTGTTGAGTAGTTGGTGGTTGATCAACTTCAAAGATAATGAACAGCAGTTCATAGTATATAAACATAACAGTTGCAATTTTCAACTATACAACAAGGGGGAAATGTTGTTGATTTAGTGTTCACATGGGTGAGGCCTCTTGATTCCTTGGGTGTATTATTATGAACCGTTGTATCTTTGAAACTGTATTTCTAATCGAGTTTTTAGCTATCGAAAAAGAGTGCGTCCTAGTGCAGGCGAATTTGGAGACATAGAACAGGTCAGGATTGTAGTGGATAGTGTTTGTAGACAACCTTCATGGATGATTGTAGGGATTTTATTTGTAGACAACCTTCAAAGGATGTCTTGGTGGTGGTGGTGGTGGTAGTAGGATCTTGAACCAAAAACTCCTTGGGTTGAACATGGTTACTTACCATTTCCCGGGCGCTGTATGACCCCTACGGATCTAACTTCCCCGTAGATATAATACTAATAAAAGCGAGACAGAGGAGTCGCGTGAGTGTTGGACTTTTTTTGGGAGGATTGAGTGAAGGGAAAGAGGGAGGGTGGCAGTGATATTGCATACATGGATGTTACGAGGACCTGGTGAGCCTAGTACTGTAATTGACAGGGTCTCTGAGGGTCCAATGAAAATCATAGGAAATCTTATGAGGGACGTAGGTTGTCAACCGAGGCTCATAAGCTAGAAGCTAGAATCCTAGGCCAGCTAGGAGGGTGTAGGGGTCACAGGATGAGCTGTTTTCATACCAAAATAACTATAATAGTGGAAAAAAAAATACTTTTGTACAGCTCAAGATATTAATAAATGTCCAGAACTGTAGAAGAGTGTCATTTTCTATAGTCTGCTGGCATCAACAAACCGTTTACAGGCAATTGTAACTATTAGAAAGACGTTTAAGGCATGCTGGAGGCTTGAAGTAACTACCGTGATACTAGAATAACCTGAAGAATCACACCAAGGCTCGGTAGGGTAGACGAGACTTACAACTATTGGTAAAGGACTATCTATTATGGGTCTAACAGAGAGCGGCTGGGAACGATGCTGCAGATCTAATTGGAACAGGACTTCTAGGAAAGCGTCAAGGATTCTAGAGTGCCGCAGGAACCCTTGGAGGATTTAAAATTAGGTGGAATATTGTGTAATAAGAAAGGGATGCAGAGGTCCTCGGAAACCCGTTGAGTATTAGGGTGCTGGATGGGGGGTGCTGGTGTGTGCTCCATCTCTGTGAGCCCCACACTACTCTAGCTCTATAAACTCCACACTACTCTCTAGCTTTGTGAGCCCCACACTACTCTCAGGAGGTTAGTGAGCGCTACAATAAGGTTACCTGCATCATACAGCGCTCCTGCCGCGATGGAGAGAATTTTGAGGAAATTGATCATTAAGATGGAGTTTTAGGTATCAGGTTCAGACATATTACATCACAGTGAATGAAAATATTGGAAATTTTTTAGAGATATTATAGAATTTTGGATATTTAATTAAATGTTTTTTGCAATAAATTAATAGGTTTTGTCTGGCAGTCACTTTATCCATGCTATATTAAATAATTTATCCTGAAGGGTAACTAAGCTATTTTTATAAAGTTTGTTGAAAAATCAGAATGTTAGCTAATAGGATTTTAAACATGTAGACTACACGAGGGTTATTAAGGCTGCATGTACCATATTTACCACCAGAAACTATACTTTTATCTTACAAAATAAACTATATATACACTGAGACATACCTCACAGTGTATATACACTGAGACATACCTCACAGTGTATATACACTGAGACATACCTCACAGTGTATATACACTGAGACATACACCTCACAGTGTATATACACAGACATACACCTCACAGTGTATATACACTGAGACATACACCACACAGTGTATATACACTGAGACATACACCTCACAGTGTATATACGCTGAGAGACATACACCTCAGTGTATATACGCTGAGAGACATACACCTCAGTGTATATACACTGAGAGACATACACCTCAGTGTATATACACTGAGAGACATACACCTCAGTGTATATACACTGAGAGACATACACCTCAGTGTATATACACTGAGAGACATGCACCTCACAGTGTATATACACTGAGAGACATGCACCTCAGTGTATATACACTGAGAGACATGCACCTCAGTGTATATACACTGAGAGACATGCACCTCAGTGTATATACACTGAGAGACGTACACCTCAGTGTATATACACTGAGAGACGTACACCTCAGTGTATATACACTGAGAGACATACACCTCAGTGTATATACACTGAGAGACGTACACCTCACAGTGTATATACACTGAGAGACGTACACCTCACAGTGTATATACACTGAGAGACATACACCTCACAGTGTATATACACTGAGAGACATACACCTCACAGTGTATATACACTGAGAGACGTACACCTCACAGTGTATATACACTGAGAGACATACACCCCACAGTGTATATACACTGAGAGACGTACACCTCAGTGTATATACACTGAGAGACATACACCTCAGTGTATATACACTGAGAGACGTACACCTCAGTGTATATACACTGAGAGACGTACACCTCAGTGTATATACACTGAGAGACGTACACCTCAGTGTATATACACTGAGAGACGTACACCTCAGTGTATATACACTGAGAGACGTACACCTCAGTGTATATACACTGAGAGACGTACACCTCAGTGTATATACACTGAGAGACGTACACCTCAGTGTATATACACTGAGAGACATACACCTCACAGTGTATATACACTGAGACATACACCTCACAGTGTATAGTATATCCCTTGTAGACAATCCTTAAAGTATCAGATGAGAAATATAATATTTTCTTTATCAATGAACCTTCTTTGCTGTATTGTATAATGCAGAAGTAATTATTGGGGAAGGAATTCGATTGCAAATTTCCCTCCTGACAGAAAATGTTCGTAATTTTTGATATGCCACACTGTGTTAATGGGGATGTGGGAGAAAAAGTTGGTCAGAAATTTTATTTTAAAACAGATATTTATGCATATTCTTAAGATATATAAACAATTTTATATTGCTTAAATTTTAGCAAGGTTAAGTTCTCATAGTTACCCACAGCAGACTATTTCCTAGCCATAGGAAGACAGTCTGCTGTATGTAAGCATTTCTGATATTTTTAATGCCTTTATGCCTATATATATATTGTATATATATTGCAGGGTATAACCCTGCATGGATTGCAGGGTTATACCCTGCAATCCATGCTCTGAAGGTAGCATTATTACGGTGTAAACTAACACTTATGTCAGCGTGATTATCACAATGGGTTCTCTTAGGACAGTAGCCATAACGTAAGATATACACACAGCTAAGACAGGCTCAGAGACGGATACCAAGAAAATACAATACATTCGTACTCTTCTTTCCAGTAGCTAAGACAACAGTAGTTTACAATACCAGTGATTTATATTATTGCTGGCTTAAAACATTCACTTATTATGTTATATACTAACGCTGTTTAATTTTAAAGTTACCTATGGTATGAAAAAGCATATCCTGATTTCTCAGTCTTAATAAATATATTTACTGCGTGAAATTAGTAATGGGTCATCTATATTATTAAGACCCGTGACAGGAGGAATATGTCTCTTGAATAGAGTTATAACGATAATGGATGAGTTCAACCAGTTTTTTTGAAGGGAGTGGACGGGTGAGCCAGTGGAAGGCCTCGGTCAGATCATCAAAAGCTCCAGCTGTGGGTCATATGAACAAGACCCGCGTCAGGTAACATCCTGTTTCCTGACAAATCTTACCTGGCCTAACCTGGAGGAGTTCACAGTATATACATTGCATTTCTCAGCGTATATATGCTTAGAGTTTACTTTAGTGCACATTTTAGTGATTAAATTATTCTCATTTGGTGGTGACAAGTTTACGTGCAGTCTTAATGACGCTCATCATTAAGACCACGTCATTTTTTCTGATGTTTTTTACCTAGTAGAGGCATAAGGGTACACTAGTGAGTAATCCTGATATTTTTTTGTAAATGTGGATGTGGAAGCCATTGTAGTGGGGACAGTCCAGCAGATGTTGAACCATGGAACGGGTCATCAAATTAGATCCTCGTCAGGGAAACACTAGTCTCTTCCCTGACGAACGGAACACCATCATTTAGAAGGAATTTAGTAATGTCTCGTGGCAGACATAATGGTATCACCCCTCTAATCACATCAAGCGATAATCCTTGATAGATGACAGCCCTAGCAACCAAATAGTGACTTGGCCATACTTAGAAGGAAGTCCCAAGCTTCACCTCACTTTCTCCCTATAAGAATAACTGCACCTCTCAGCTGAGAAATATATTATTGTGTTATATGAACCACTGCCACGTATGAATCACTGCCACAACGCAGGCGGTAGAGAGATGATGTACACGTATGTATCCGCCAAGACCAGAGGTGCTACTGTAACTGTATTTGTGTATATCTGAATTAACTTTCTTCCTTAGCCTGACAAACCCATTATCACACACACACACACACACACACACACACACACACACACACACACACACATCCTCCACACCACACTCATCCGCTGTCATGCATAACCAAGTGCCTGATCCACGGACTTGCTGTTTTAATATTAAAACAATATCTCCTGTCTGTCAAGCATGACGTGAGGTGTGACGTGTCAAGGTTAAAGCTTAACGAGTAGATATGTTGCGTGGGTGCTGAGATGCTTTCGATTATAAATTCCCAATTGCATACTCTTAAGCCCATATTTACAAGTTATTGAGAAGTATTTTGATGTATAAATGGGTGTTAATTACCAGTATGTCTTGGATGATGTAATATGTCCCTCAATTTAACCCCAGGGGTGCCTTGAGTACACCGAGAGACAACACAATAAGTGTAAGGGGCCCAAGACTAGAGATCAGTGGTGAGTTGAAGCACCTGGTATCCCGTATTATAGCTCTGTGGTGCTAATGACGTGGTGGTGAAGCACACTAAGGGACACGTCATTTCCTCTGTTTTCTAGTATGTTATTTTTCCCCTATAATGCACCTTGTCCATAATTACTATAGTATTTGCCTTGTCTGCTTTCGTAAGGTGAAGTCCAGGATCTTTCCTTAATTCATGGTATAACTTAATAAATCTTTGATGACAATTGTGTTGTAGAGGTCTGAGCAAAGATCAGACCTGTGTGTGTGCCGTGAAAGTTCTCTGTACATTCTCCAGGTCAGCAATTTCGCCTGCCTGGAAGGGGGCAGTTAGTGTACAGCAGTACTCCGATCTAGAGAGAACAAGCAATTTGCAAGCAATCATCATAGGCTTTGCATCCCTAGTTTTGAAAGTTTTTATTATCCATCCTATCATTTATCTAGCAGATGAGGTAGATACACTGTTGTGGTCTTTAAAGGTGAGATCCTCTGACATAGTCACTCCCAGATCTTTCACATTAGTTTTCGCTCTATTGTGTGGTGAGAATTTGTATTATACTCTAATAAAGTTTAAATTTCCTCAAGATTTCCATATCTGAGTAGTTGAAATTTCTCTTCACTGAACTTCACATTGTTTTCTGTGGCCCATTTAAAGATTTGGTTGACGTCCGCTTGGAGTCTTGCAGTGTCCTTGATGGAGGTCACTGTCATGGCAATCCGGGTGTCATCCACAAAGAAAGACACGGCTTACATCTCTGTCTATGTCAGATATGAGGATGAGGAATAGGATGGGAGCGAGTACTGTGCCCTGTGGAACAGCTTTTCACTGTAGCTGTCTGGGACTTGACTCTGTTTACTACCACTCTTTGTGTTCTGTTTGTCAGGAAGTTATAGATCCATCTACCAACTTTTCCTGTTACTCCATTGTCATGCATTTTGTGCGCTATTATATAATGTAAATTACCCACTAGGATAACCCCCCCCCCTCAAAAAAAACACGAAGTGACTTCGTGTAAAAGATATATTAGTTATTTAATTTAGGAGGCTATGTCAAATGAAGAAATTTAATATTTTTCTGTTAGGGATTTTTTCTTGAGTTAGAGAGTTTATTCCCGTTGTATTGTCTTAAATGTTATTAAAAGAGTTCAGTTAACTTTATTTAAATGTAAATTATTATATTTTTGTGCCTTATTTTATTTTCTGGCGAGGCCTAAAAACTTATACCCTTCAGACTGTCATTTAAATACAAATTATTATTTTTGTGCCTTTATTTTTCGAATTTTAATTTTCTGGTGAGGCTTAATATTTATACCCTTCAGACTGTTATTCATTTAGGCCTACTGGACATCCACCCACACATTTATACCCACATACACGCACTCAACTCCCACGTACATAGACCTCTAACACACTCCCACACATTTATACCCACATATACGCACTCAACTCCCACGTACATAGACCTCTAACACACTCCCACACATTTATACCCACATACACGCACTCAGCTCCCACGTACATAGACCTCTAACACACTCCCACACATTTATACCCACATACAGGCACTCAACTCCCACGTACATAAACCTCTAACACACTCCCACACACCTGCATCTTGATAGCTACAAGTTCAGCTATATAGCGACGGTCATCCTCCTGTGAGTCTCCCATCAGGGTGAGTGCCGAGTCATTGACTTCAATGATGTGTTCGTTGCCACTCTTGTCCACGATGGCTTCGATGGCGCAGATGTCCAGTCCACCGAAGAGTGCTGCCACCTATTGGGCGGGAGGGAAGGTCAGTGTGAGACTGAATACACCAGTGTACTGCTGTCTTATTGAAGATGTTGTGGGAACACCAGCAGTGCTGCTACACTATTCTATATGATAGTTACATGGTGGGAACACCAGCAGTGTGTTGCTACATTATTCTATATGATAGTTACATTGTGGGAACACCAGCAGTGTGTTGCTACACTATTCTATATGATAGTTACATTGTGGGAACACCAGCAGTGTGTTGCTACACTATTCTGTATGATAGTTACATTGTGGGAACACCAGCAGTGAGTTGCTACACTATTCTGTATGACAATTACATTGTGGGAACACCAGCAGTGCTGCTACACTATTCTATATGATAGTTACATCATATGATAGTTACACCAGTTATATGATAGTTACATGATAGTTACACCAGAATTGTGCTGCTACACTATTCTGTATGATAATTACATTGTGGGAACACCAGCGGTGTTGCTACACTATTCTATATGATAATTACATTGTGGGAACACCAGAATTGTGTTGCTACACTATTCTGTATGATAGTTACATTGTGGGGACACCAGCAGTGTGTTGCTACACTATTCTATATGATAGTTACATTGTGGGAACACCAGCAGTGTGTTGCTACACTATTCTATATGATTGTTACATGGTGGGACCTGAAGCTAGGTATGTCTCCACGCCTAATGGTCCTCATTTAATCACTAATGACCTTTAGTAACCCATAATTATAAGTTAAAAATAACTAGAGTTTAAGCCAATTCGTTTTAAAGTTAACTCAGCGTGAGATCTTGTCGACCAAACACTTACGAAGTAATCGCTGACCAAATATAATGAATCTTGAGAAAGCTTACCTCATCCACCCAGATCTTGTATCGCTCCGTCATAGCGGTCTGTTCCAGCATAGCTGAGCCTGTGTTGGTTTTCCAGTTGCCGGAGATGGACTTTCTCCTGTAAAAAGGGCACAGTATTTAGAGAGAGAGAGAGAGAGAGAGAGAGAGAGAGAGAGAGAGAGAAGGCTTTAGTTCGGTAATAACGGGAGAAAAGCAAGGTGAGGGGGTGAGTTACTCTGAGGTAAACAGAGACAGCCACACTGACCACAACACTCAACACCCTCTTTCATTCTTCCCTTCGCCTCATACTGCTTCCTACCTCTTCCTCATACCCTATTCTTCCTTCTTTATCTTCCTTTTCTACCATCCTCTACCTCCTCCTCCCTCCAACCTCCTTCTACCTTCCTATTACTACTTCCTTCTATCATTTCCTATCTTCTCTCTCGTCCCTTTCTCTTCTTGCCTTCCTCTTTCTCACCCTCCTTCCTTCCTTCCTGTTCCCATATTCCCCGTCTGGGAGCCCCTGGTTCAAGTTCACACTCTGTTTTCCTGTCTGCAAGCAATGATCTCTATGATAGGCTCGTTGCTGTTATCATGATGCAGTAGTTACAATTCTCTCTCCCTCTGGACTCACTGGAAGCACTTGTACATTGCGCCGATCTTCTGGATGTGGACATCAAACTTAGCATCGATGTAAGGCTCTGTGGTGCAGTAGGTGTTCGCTACAGCCACGACACTGGCCATGTCTTGGAAATCAGCGTTGCTTTCAACGCGAATCTTGCCCAGACCGCCGTGGGCGTGGCCGATCTTAAAGACGCAGGGGTATCTAGGCGCTGACAGCTGTCGAGGGGAGAGAGAGACAGGCGGAAATGAGACAAGGGGGCGGTAAACAGATATCAAACTGAGTAAGTAAGATCTTTTATACTGTAATATAATTTTATTTTGGGGGGGGGGGAGCAAATGCAATTGAAGAAGTGAATTCAGAATTGACTAGCATTTTCACCTGACAGTCTAGAAGAAAAAGAATGAAACAATACATAGATAACCGCACATAGGAGAGAAGAGTTTATGACGACGTTTCGGTCCGACTTGGACCATTTACAAAGTCACACTGACACAAAAGAGTCAGGGAGCCAGTATATATAGGTGAGGGGGGAAAATGTCCCCCCTCACCTATATTGTATTTTGCCTTTTTCTTCTTAAAAGTCCCTTCAGTGTGAGTGTTATTTATGTATGACTTATAGGCAATGTTAGATGGACTTTTTAAGTCGCATTTACATAAAAAATGCTCAGTATAGAGGGCGTTATTAAGGAAAGCTGACTGAACGTGTATGTGTGTGTGTGTGTGTGAGAGAGAGAGAGAGAGAGAGAGAGAGAGAGAGAGAGAGAGAGAAGTGAGAGACAGAGACAGAGACAGAGACATACAGAGAGAGTGAGAGACAGAGACAGAGACAGACATACAGAGACAGAGATGAACAGGAGCTGATAGTGACTTCAGATCACTAGTGTTTATGTTCATAATATATCGGAAAAAAATACACATAGGAGAAAGATGTACATGGGAAAAAGATAGCTGAATAGTGGCCAGGAAGGAGAGAAGGATGAACAAGAAACCAGGACAAGGAGAGGAGAGAGGAGGCGAGATAGAACACTGTTTACACACACAATTGAATCCGTTATTAAGGGTCATATTAGTTTGTCTGCTGGATAAGAACGTCATTAAGAGTAATGGAATACGTAATGATGTTTGTCAAGGTCTTTGATATTGGTAATATAACTCTCTCTCTCTCTCTCTCTCTCTCTCTCTCTCTCTCTCTCTCTCTCTCTCTCTCTCTCTCTCTCTCTCTCTCTCTCTCTCTTTCTCTTTCAGCTACCAGGCATCACCCCAACTACCAGGCATGACCACAACTACCAGGCATGACCACAACTACCAGGCATGACCACAACTACCAGGCATGACCACAACTACCAGGCATGACCACAACTACCAGGCATGACCACAACTACCAGGCACCACCACAACTACCAGGCATCACCACAACTACCAGGCATCACCACAACTACCAGGCATCACCACAACTACCAGGCACCACCACAGCTACCAGGCACCACCACAGCTACCAGGCACCACCACAGCTACCAGGCACCACCACAGCTACCAGGCACCACCACAACTACCAGGCATCACCACAGCTACCAGGCACCACCACAACTACCAGGCACCACCACAACTACAAGGCATCACCACAGCTACCAGGCACCACCACAACTACCAGGCATCACCACAGCTACCAGGCACCACCACAACTACCAGACACCACACACAACTACCAGAGCATCACCACAGCTACTAGGCACCACCACAATACCAGGCATCACCACAGCTACCAGGCACCACCACAACTACCAGGCATCCCACAGCTACCGGCACCACCACACTACCAGGCACCACCACAGCTACCAGGCACCACCACAGCTACCAGTCACCACAGCTACCGGCACCACCACACAGCATACCCAGCTCCAGCCACCACAACTACCAGGCATCACCACAGCTACCAGGCACCACACTACCAGGCACTCACCACAACTACCAGGCACCACAACTACCAGGCACCACCACAGCTACCAGCATCACCACAGCTACCAGGCACCACCAAAACTACCAGGCACCACCACAACTACCAGCACCACCACAGCTACCCGGCACCACCACAACTACCAGGCACCACCACAACTACCGGCACCACCACAGCTACCCGGCACCACCACAATTACCAGGCACCACCACAACTACCAGGCACCACCACAACTACCAGGCACCACCACAGCTACCAGGCACCACCACAGCTACCAGGCACCACCACAGCTACCAGGCACCACACAGCTACCAGGCACCACCACAGCTACCAGGCACCACCACACTACCAGCACACCACAACTACCAGCACCACCACAACTACCAGGCACCACCACAACTACCAGGCACCACCACAACTACCAGCACCACCACAGACTACAGGCACACCACAACTACCAGGCATCACCACAGCTACCAGGCACCACAACTACCAGGCACCACCACACTACCAGGCACACCACAACTACCAGGCACCACCAAACTACCAGGCACCACCACAACTACCAGGCACCACCACACTACCGGCACCACCACACATACCAGGCACCACCACAACTACCAGCACCACCACAACTACCAGGCACCACACAGTACACACCACCCTGGGTAGGAAGTCAACCTGCTATCAGAGGGAACCCCCACCACAGCTCTTCGGCATCCACAGTACAGGACACCCACAGCTTTCCAGTACAAACATAACAGGGAACGAAACAACTAACAGGCACATGCACAGTGAACCAGGCACCACTGAAACTAAAACCCGACAACACAGCACACACAGGAACAGTAACACATCCTGTGTAAAGTAATTGCTTATACAGTGAACTTTGCACACTGACTGGATCCATCTGTGACGAACACAGGAACCTGAACAATGGGAAGTGAGACAGTGGGAAACATGGAAAATGGAACAGTGAAACAATGGAACAGTGAAACAATGGACATGAACATGGAACATGGAACAATGGAACACTGAAACAATGGAAGATGGAACATGTGAAACATGTGAAAATGGAACAGTGAAACAATGGATGAAAATGGAACAGTGAAACAATGGAAAACAGTGAACAATGGAAGAATGGAACAGTGAAACAATGAAGAATGAACAGTGAAACAATGGAAGAATGGAAACAGTGAAACAATGGAAGATGGAAACATGAATGAAACAATGAAGAATGGAGCAGTGAAACAATGGAAGAATGGAACAGTGAAACAATGGAAGAATGGAACAGTGAAACAATGGAAGAATGGAACAGTGAAACAATGGAAGAATGGAACAGTGAAACAATGGAAGAATGGAACAGTGAAACAATGGAAGAATGGAACAGTGAAACAGTAAAACAATGAAACGTGAAACAGTGGAACAGTGAAACAGTGAAACAAGCAATGAGATAGAAACAATGAGACAATGAAACCACAGTGAAACACAGTATAAAATAATGAAACAATGAAACAGAGACAATGAGACAGAATGAGACAATGAGAAAATAATGAAAGGGAGAATGAATGAAAAAAAATGAGAAACAGAGAGAGAGAGAGAGAGAGAGAGTCTCCTGGACAATGAGAGAATGAGAGTATGAAAGAATGGGAGATAATGAAGAAGAATGAGAAAGATTCGATCTCCTGGATAATGAAAGAATGAGAAAAAATAAGAAAATGAGAGAATGAATGAAAATTGAGAAAATGAGAGAATGATACAGTTAAAGACAATGAGAAATGTTTTAAATAAGTAACAGAAATAACTCTTAGCTTGTAATATATTTAGTGAGAGACATTAAAAGATTCCTGCAGCAAGGCAAGAGGCGGGAAACAGGTACACGAGGGCATGGATGGACGTAAAAATCACAGGTGATGGGCCAGGGATGTCAGGATCTACTGATTCAGCCTGAGGATGGTCAGGAAGTGTCATGGTCTGGAGGAAGTGGTGTACTCACCTATTTGTGGTTGCAGGGGTCGAGTCATTGCTCCTGGCCCCGCTTCTTCACTAATCGCTACTAGGTCCTCTCTCTCCCTGCTCCATGAGCTTTATCATACCTCGTCTTACAACTATGTATGGTTCCTGCCTCCACTACATCACTAGCCAGACTGTTCCACTTCCTGACAACTCTGTGACTAAAGAAATACTTCCTAACATCTCTTTGGCTCATCCGAGTCTTCAATTTCCAATTGTGACCCCTTGTTTCTGTGTCCCATCTCTGGAACATTCTGTCTCTGTCCACATTGTAAATTCCTCGCAGTATTTTGTATGTCGTTATCATGTCTCCCCTAACCTTCCTGTCCTCCAGTGTCGTCAGGCCGATTTCCCTTAACTTTTATTCGTAGGTCAGTCCCCTTAGCTCTGGGACTAGTCTTGCTGCAAACCTTTGCACTTTCTCTAATTTCTTGACGTGCTTGACCAGGTGTGGGTTCCAAACTGGTGTTGCATACTCCAGTATAAGCCTGACGTAGACGGTGTACAGAGTCTTGAACGATTTCTTGCTGAGGTATCGGAACGCTATTCTCAGGTTTGCCAGGCGCCCATATGATGTAGCAGTTATCTGGTTGATGTGCACCTCAGGAGATGTGTTCGGTATTATACTCACCCTAAGATCCTTTTCCTTGAGTGAGGTTTGCAGTCTTTGGCCACCTAGCCTATACTCTGTCTGAGGTCTTCTTTGCCCTTCCCCAATCTTCATGACTTTGCATTTGGCGGGGTTATATTCGATGAGCCATTTGTTGGAGCTCTTCCAGCCTGTCCAGGTCTCTTTGTAGTCCTGCCTGATACTCGCCCGATTTAATTTTCCCCATTAACTTCACATCATCTGCAAACAGGGACACTTCTGAGTCTATCCCTTCCGTCATGTTATTCACATATACCAAAAATAGCAGTGGTCCTAGAACTGACCCCTTTGGGACCCCGCTCGCCACAGGTGCCCACTGTGATACCTCATCACGTACCATGACTCATTGTTGTCTTCCTGTAAGGTATTGTCTGATCCATTGCAGTGCCCTTCCTGTTATGTGCGCCTCATCCTCCAGCTTCTGCACCAATCTCTTGTGGGGAACTGTATCAGAGGCCTTCCTGCAGTCCAGGAAAATGCATTCTACCCACCCCTCTCTCTCTCTCTCTCTCTCTCTTGTGTCTTCCGGTACCTTGTCATAAAACTCCGTGCTGGTTGTCGTTCATAAGCTTGTTCCGTTTTAATGTGTGTGTGTGTGTGTGTGTGTGTGTGTGTGTGTGTGTGTGTGTGTGTGTGTGTGTGTGTACTCACCTAGTTGTACTCACCTAGTTGAGGTTGCGGGGGTCGAGTCCGAGCTCCTGGCCCCGCCTCTTCACTGATCGCTACTAGGTCACTCTCCCTGAGCCGTGAGCTTTATCATACCTCTGCTTAAAGCTATGTATGGATCCTGCCTCCACTACATCGCTTCCCAAACTATTCCACTTACTGACTACTCTGTGGCTGAAGAAATACTTCCTAACATCCCTGTGAATCATCTGTGTCTTCAGCTTCCAACTGTGTCCCCTTGTTACTGTGTCCAATCTCTGGAACATCCTGTCTTTGTCCACCTTGTCAATTCCTCTCAGTATTTTGTATGTCGTTATCATGTCCCCCTATCTCTCCTGTCCTCCAGTGTCGTCAGGTTGATTTCCCTTAACCTCTCCTCGTAGGACATACCTCTTAGCTCTGGGACTAGTCTTGTTGCAAACCTTTGCACTTTCTCTAGTTTCTTTACGTGCTTGGCTAGGTGTGGGTTCCAAACTGGTGCCGCATACTCCAATATGGGCCTAACGTATACGGTGTACAGGGTCCTGAACGATTCCTTATTAAGATGTCGGAATGCTGTTCTGAGGTTTGCTAGGCGCCCATATGCTGCAGCAGTTATTTGGTTGATGTGCGCTTCAGGAGATGTGCCTGGTGTTATACTCACCCCAAGATCTTTTTCCTTGAGTGAGGTTTGTAGTCTCTGACCCCCTAGACTGTACTCCGTCTGCGGCCTTCTTTGCCCTTCCCCAATCTTCATGACTTTGCACTTGGTGGGATTGAACTCCAGGAGCCAATTGCTGGACCAGGTCTGCAGCCTGTCCAGATCCCTTTGTAGTTCTGTGTGTTTGTGTGTGTGTGTGTGTGTGTGTGTGTGTGTGTGTGTGTGT